ATATATAGTTTCTTAAAATTGACATAATACTGTAGGTACTAAAACAAATACTGTATAGAGATTGTTTCTCTGACATGAATTTAACCTTACAGAAAACCGAATTATTATCTCATAGACAAACAACAACCAACAACAGTCTGCAGGTAACTGTGCTGTTTATACCAAAGGTCTGTGGTTCTGCTCATTCACACACCATGGTAAAAAATGTCAAATAAAATTAAAATACATTTTGAAAATGTTGATTCTGGAGGAAGATCAACGTCTGATTGGACAGACTTGATGTTTGTTGTACTGATGGGAATTCAAAAACAATGCCCCTATTTATGTCTCATTAAATCCTAATCAGTTACAGATCATGATGTCATATTTGTTGTTTTATTCCATTTACCAAAGTTGAAGATGTTAAAGATAGAGCTTTTAAGAAAGCTGTCATTTCTACTCTTTGGAAGTCCAGCTGTTTACAGACAAAGTACACATGTACGGGCCAACCGTCAGGGAACAGCGACAAAAATCTAAATCATCCAACAATGACAAACAATGAGGACTGAGGGTGTACTGTGGAAACACTTCAAAGCCGTTGATGTCACTAACCGCAGATTTAAGGTTTTCACACACAGACTGACCTTCTTGAAACAGGATACCCTCAAACACACATACGCACTCTCTCTGGATTCATTGTCAAACCTATACAAAAACCATGAAATATGCAGAGACAGCTTGGGTTACATGTGGATGGTGTGTTTGTGTGATACTTAAACCAAGGTCAGAGGAAAAACCTGTCTCTTCATCAGCAGTGACAGCTAAAATCCTGGGCAGCTAGTGTCTGTCGTTCAACCTTTGAAGTCAAATGACAACTCATTGTCATCCACTACAATAAGAGGAAATATATATTTTTTGTCAACATTTTCTAGATTGATATTTACCCAAGTACTTTCACCAGGGAACTGGGTGTAACTTCACCTTTTTTTTCTAGTACTGTCAACTGACAATTCATTTCCCACAATTCACGACAAATTGTTTTTCTCGTCTACAAAAAAAAAAGACAAACCTGAAAATAATTAAAATTAAAATTGAGTTTACAATGACATTAAATTATAATTACAAAGTGAGGATTTGTGTTCAAAGCTGCCGTTTCACACAGTTCACAATGTGAGGTCCAGAGTGAGACTCTTGAACTGACCAGAAATGCATTCTGGGTATTGATTAAAAGGGCGCAACTTTCAGCTGGAACATCTTGTGCTCTTTGCAGCTCCGCTCTCTCTCTGTCTCTCTCTCCCTCTCGTATCCGTCAGCGTACACACTTGTCAAGAGCTCATCAAAAGACATTTTCGTGAATAGAGTCAATCAGCAGAGAACCTCTTAATCACAGCACAAATAGAAAAGCCACGGGTGGGGGTTGGGGGGGAGGGGGGTCACTGTACAGTTCTGGTTCCTCCCACATATTTAGCTTCACTTGTTGATCTGTGATTGTAAACAAACTTTTAATGACACACTGTACAGCACCAAAACAGTTTATTTGTGAAGTTGATCAGATTCAAATTGAATGTGTGGACAGACTGACGTGCACTGAACATCCAACAATTCAGAAAGGCTTCAACATCAGGTCTGACCTGTTGATTAACACGATATTCAACATGGATGCTAGAGTCTGTGGACTGATTAATATTGTTGAGGACAAAGTTGGAAAATCTTATATTCTACAGGGGAACGTCACGTTGCACAGCAACAAATAAAATACATGAGGCTAAATGATACGTGACCATAATTAAAAAAACAAAACATTACTCCATAGTTTAATCTACTGGTGTAGAACACATACACATGCCTGCCACAGGTGTGCATTAACTAATCTGACTCTGTGCCAACCTGACCTTAGTGATAATCAGATTAAATTAAATTTCAAACCTAAAGGGGGAGAGACTACAACCAACAGTTGAACAATTGATCAAACTCAAGACAATTCCTGATGAGTTTCCTCTTCCAGACTCAGTGGCCGTTAGGTAACACCGACATGGACTGGACGACCGTTCAATCAACCCTCACATACTGTATGTACGTGTGAGTGTGTGTGAGTGTGTGTGAGTGGTACTGCACAGCTGATCGCATCACTGCTGCGATCACCACTTGTTTCAGAGCACAGGACTTGTTTGATGGAGAAATAGCCTGATAACTGGACAAGGAATTGTAAAACAGCGAGGTTTTGGTTTCATAACAAGGAGGGAGGCTGCAGCAGCAGCAGCAGCGGTACTGCAGACAGGAGGACACGGAGGTGCAGCGATGGCAGCGGCAGCCGCAGCCGCCCCCGCATTGGTTTCTTTTCCCGGGGCTTGTTTCTCACCCCCG